AGTTTTGCACAATACGTAATAATCAAAAATTATATATACCTACAATGTTATATTACATATACAGATAGGAAAATCAAAATGACACGACACTGTACGCACTTGCACACATACATTTAATTACTCATAAAGTATGTAACGTAATCTAATCCTTGTAAATTAATATTTTTACTGGTTTCCCAACTTTTTCAATTGCCACATTTTCTTCATATACTTTCGTAAAATTAAATGTCTGATGCAGTTTACGGCACAATTTTTAAGAAATACATATATTTGAACATCTAGACGGCTAAACCCATTATATAAAAACGCGTCATATATAAGAAAAGCGCTAAAGTTATGAAGAATTATCATATTTTAGCAGCATTATTCAGGAAATGTATTACGTATCATGGTTTCAGCCAGCGCAAGAGTAGTACTCAAAACAACAGCATATCGAGCAGAATTATAACAAAAGAACATCGGATGTCAAAAATTTAAGCAAAAAAATGCTATTTCAGTTTAAAGAATTTCCAATCAAAATCAAGACACTTTCTCATAACGTATTGAGGTTTGTAAGTTCTTTACCACGACATGTCTTTTCCTTCGAAAGGAAACTTTCTGTAACTTTGTTTCTAATGGATCCGTATCACGAAACTCCCATCGTACTACTTTGCCTAGAGATATGGTTCACAAAGTGTAAACCGCGACCCACTAATGGGTCATCGCGAAGGGATTTTGAGTGGATCTTGGTAAGGTTCGAATTTTTTCCGATATATTTATGTATATTTATATTCAAATTATTAATTTATTGTTTTTTAACTAGTTATAAATTATTCTACATTTTTACTTATTATTAGCTTATTATTTTCATCATGAACTCTTTGCCTTTCCCCATCGATCACCCTTTCGCAGCAATTATATATAGGAAGGTCGGGAAGTCGAAATGTTTGGGAACCAACACCGTGATACCCCATTCTGGATTTTTAATGTTCCCTGTAAATATGTATTAACTTAGCATAGCCTTTATAAACGCACAGATAAAATTAAAAAATAAAATGTTTAAAAAATCAAACATGTAAACTTACTCACATTAAGCTTCATATTAATACGTTATATAACACAAATATAAAGAATGGTTTAAACAGTTGAAAAATCTCACAAATTTACAAACATTATATTGAACAATTTCGGGAATGATCCGGTTCTTAGGGAAGGCGAGTAACAGCTGATAATCGCTTATAGATATGAATTAAGGCATTGGAATTTATACAAAATTATTTAATTTACACAAAATATACAAAGTCTGTACATATAATCCCCACCTCAGTTTTCAATAAAGGTACTCTTGGATAGAATCCTGGGGTGTTCCACACCTCTTACATATGTAAAATACGCTTCCAACAACCTTTGAAACGATTTCAAAGCATCAACAAATTTTAAGTGCCTTCATGTTGCGACGATACTGCATTCACAAACTTCTATAATTAAACTAAAATTCGAATCCAAGCTTATAAATTTCTGCTACACACCATACTGTCAGGGTGCCTTTGAGAAAAAGGGAATTTTTATGGAATGTTCTCGAAAATAGCTTATTTCCAAGGGTTACGCATAAAGTGAGAATCTTTGATCTGGAAAGAAGAACGGCTGGTCATCAAAAGAGTGGCTGGCCAATGAACCTTAAGGTGACATTTTATGAGAATTTCTGTATTTCGTTTTCGCTAGCGGTGAATTCATGTATTTGTCTGCCGTTGTTGTGGCACCGTATTCGGGGTTTATTTATAAATTAAGAGACATCATAACATTCCTTTAAACACGCTTTTGCGTTATTCGCATATTCATCATTAAACAATTTTTGCAAGAGAATTAACTCACATACAGTATATTTCAAAACGATTGCACTTTTAATTATCTTCAAAACGCTGGTTCTTCTTTAATTCCAAATTAAATTAACAAATTACGATATACCTTCAGAATAAAACAACTGAGACACCTTTCAGTAAAAATATGTGTTGCATTTTAATTTGGTCTTCACAGGAGAAATATATTATGAAAACCAGGTATTTCATAACAAACATTGCCCCCCCCCCAAAAAAAAACACAACGATGAAAATAGTCTGAGCTAACACTGTAAACGGTTTCGTAAAATTTTAAGCAAATAGTGAAACTGAAGTTACGTGAATATGCCAATGGACACTAAGCTTATCTGATTACGAAAATGAATGCTTTCTTGTAAGACTTGCAAAGAATCTGCCCCATGTTTATATCACAGATACGAAAAACTGCAAAGCCCTAAGGTACCTAACACATTCGAGCTCTAGCAGCACAATCCAGAACGAAATGTCAGCATTTAAGGTTCTAACTTGCTCGGCTTCAGTGTGTAAAAATACATTGTTTAATTTTTTGAGAAACTACAATTACAAGCCCACGGTCAATTTTTCAACATATGTGTAATTCAGATATTCCAAAACAATTTTAGTAGACTTTCATAGATTAATGCAGTGTTTGGCGAACTGGGCGTTTTAATATACCATTTATCTTTATTTCTGCTTAATAAAACTGCACATCTATGGCTTGCAGCTATAATGAAAACTGAAGGAACATGTACTAGAACGATGTACATTTGCGTATGCAATGATTTGATGTAAAATGCGATTTTTATGGTTCTGCCATACGTTGAAAGTCATCACGGCTCTTTTACAAAGAGCTACAGAATTTTCCATTTGCTCTATGGCTTCTTGGGCTTTAGATTAAAACATTACAATCCTCTTTTTTGCTGCTTGCGAGATACATAACAAGTATACTGTAAATATACAATGCAGCGTAAGTACACTATGCTTTCAGGTAGCATTTACTTAACGTTTCTTTTCTTGTCACTGCTGTCTGAATATTGCGACTTTCTTGTATAATGCAGACAAACCTACTAACGAATGTATACGAACTTCTGGAATCAATAATTTCTTCGCAAAGTATACAAAATGAAAAACAATGTTCTTATTCACTCCAGTGTTATTGCATTTTGTGGCTATGTTATTTTCATGCGAGAAAATAATCCACCTTTACATATTCACTAATTGTTTGTTCCTTCCGACGTGTGTGTTAATATTTGTTTCCCAAAAGAGTCGGCTTGCTCTGTGTATAAGTTTTTATTACGGTTGACAGTACGTAATCCAGATTCCACAGGCATGTACTAATTTCAAAGATAAAATCAGTGCTTTAGGAAATTCCAGTAGCATCTTTTGTGCTTACAAGCTATCTTGATGTTATGCAGATTTGTATGAATATCAATCGATGGAACGAATCACAGTTTCTGCTGAAGTATCGTTATCTTCACTTCCGCCATGCTTCTTTTTTTAATCCTCGTAACGTGTAAAACTGAGCAGAGAAGCAATTTTAGATCGATATAAGTTTCAAATCCAGCTCGAATGAGTAATTTTTCTTCAGAGAAAAAAATAATAATACTTTTTTTCTTCAAATATCGCATTTAGTTTCTTTTCTTCCTTTTATTCATTTTTTAAAATTCTTCATAAGCAAAAATTACATTTAAAGTAATATAAATGTTCATTTTTATTACATCCCACTTACATCATATCAAATTTTATATTTCATTGTAAACGCATATTGTCTACATTGCGAAACAATAAATTGCAATATGAAATGTGCATAGTTTAGTTTTAGAAAAATTAAACAAGAAAGCTTTTTTTAATTACACAAAACTATTCTTACTGATAAATTTTCATTTTTCAATCAAACTTTAACGTAAGAAATTACTGTAGAAAATTACTTCCAATTTACTGGACTGCGCAGACAACAGGCTTTTTATTTTTATTTCATGCGGCCTAGAAATCTATCTGCTCTCAGGCATGTAATTTTAAATTTATTTTAAAATCTTAACAGTGCATTGTTAACCTAACTAGTAATTTAGCAATTTAAAAGCAACGTACGTACGTGTATGTAATATTATTTTTAATAATATGTTACATATATATGTAATTAGTAATAGTATTTAATTACATAAATTCATACTCTTCACGATACATGTAATTGGTATAATTTGTAATACATTAAATTGCTAATTTTATGAATATTTGTAATTAATAAAAAATTATAATTCTTCCTTTCTGTAGGAAATATATAATCAGAATCTTTGAACTTAACATTGTAGTTTGTTTTATTAATATTATTTATGAAGTACAGACACTTAAAATCAAAAATACACCCTCATGCACAAAAGTGAACTATTGCGCACATTCTTTTCCAAATTTTTGAGAATTTCTTCGGCTCTTGTGTAACAACATAATGTTTAAGACACAATAACACGCCGAATAAATACTAATTCAGAAGTCAAACAAAAAAAAATCAGCGTTATATTTACAAAATTTTCACAGGACTAATTTGGAAGGTTTTACCGAACCACCATCCTCAGCTGCAAAACCGTATCTTGTTCATTTGCGGTTTTGCAGCTGAGGATGATGGTTCGGTAAAACCTCCGAAATTAGTCCTGTGAAAATTTTGTAAATATAACGCTGATTTTTGTTGTTTGACTTCTGAATTAGAACATAATGTTTATTAAAACGTACACACAGCATTTAAGTAAATTTAATTAGAATTATATATAATTGAGTTTATATCTATTTCAGTGTTTCATATCACACATATTTCAAACATTTCTAAAGCATCAAAATGAAAAGTTTTAATAAATATATCACTTGTACATAATAATAAAAACAAACATTTTCGATTATTAAAAAAAATGTCTTTAAATGTTTTTTCACATTTTATTGTAAGCAATTTTTAATGCACCAGCATCTATGAAAACTGAACTGAATACCCTTTTTCTGGCTATTTTATCCATATTCCTTAGAATTTTTCTTCAAAACAACAGAAAATACAGCTCTTCTAGATTCCGAATGTTATGTTTATAGACAGTAAGTAATTTGACCCGCTGCCTTACTTCTTCACGCGTTACTAAGGCTGCACCGGAGTTAACAAAAAATAAATAATAGAAGCAAACTGACACTTACCAGTGAATGAAGTAAGTTCCAGATTACTTTTACAAAAGAAAACAAAACTCAATGCCTCGCGTTGAAAGAAGAACATCTATATGAACCCAAAAAACCAGAACTAGACCTTTAAATACGAGTCAGCCATTGACCCACATAAGCAATGAACAACCTGTGGAATTCACGCTGCCATCTATCGGCAGATTCGAGAATATGAATTCCAGACATTTGTTTGGGTGCCCCTACCGCGTGCTCTTCCTAACCTCCTAGCCTCAATGTCTGGCTATCGCAGTAAGCGAATACAGAACGATCGATGCTTGTAAAACGCGAAGGAAATTATGTTTTTCACATTTCCCTTTCGATACATAATTTACCTGTCAAAAACAAATTTTATATCAGTATGAAGCTCACTGTTAATTGTGTCAGCATCTTTTCCCAAAGAATGGGAATGTGAACATGAGAACTCAATAAACTAGACAACTCCCAGGGAGAGCGACCCTTTTACCTTCAAAATAACATTTTGAGAAGCTAAATTTTATAATTAAGGTCTTTAAATAGAAAACACATGGTTTAAAGGTTTTCAGTTAATTTTATTCCTTCCGAAAGTTTAGTAAAGGGCATACTAGAGATTTACTAACCGTAAAAGGAATCTTTCCTTGACATATTTGTTTAATAAATTAAAAGCTAGCCGTATTCAGAAAAGACGTAGTCAGTATATTCTTCTAACTCGGTGAAATAAATGCGCACTTAACAAATAATTTTGACGAAATATTAAGCATTAATATGATTTCCAAAGAATGGCAAAGAAACTAACTATCAGTCGAATTATTCATAGTTGTGTGGAAAATAACTATCTGTCAGGTTAAGCTGTTTGAATACGACAAAGCATACGAAAGCTCTCTGCCTGTGGGAAGGGATGCATTCGTAGAGGTATTTATAATAATAATAATAATAATAATAATAATAATAAAAACTAAGAAAACCAACAACGCAACTAGCCCGTTCGTTTGCGTTCGAACCCGCGTCAGACTACGGCCGTCTCAATCATTCGGGCACTAGTGAGAGAACTATTTACTAGCAAAGTTCAGAATAACAGACATTAGAATTTCTCATGTAACTATGACTGAATTAAAATGGCGTGGCTTAATGGAATGGTATCAAATATTTAATTATTTTTAATGAATAAGTAAGCTTATTAGCTTATTGCAGCATTTTCTTGGAATGAGTAAATGTCTGAAAAAAAAAAAGAACATTCCTGATTCAGTTAATGAACGTAATCCAGTATAGGCCCCAAACATTATATATCTCAAAATCGAAAGTTTTCATATCTCTTTACCTTTGCTACAGAACAACATAATACGAAGTAAATTGAACAAATTATAGGTGTTCCTTTTTTAGCAGACTGCATGCTTATTAGCGACCAAGCTTTTGAGTTGGCAGTCGTAGGAGAAAAGATTGGTAAGTGCCTTCTATGTCCGCTCACTGCAATCTGCTTTGAGGGACGATATGCCTTTCGAAGATCCCCTTTCCCAGAAAAATTTAATTGTGTTTATAAACACTCACAAGAACACACTTTTGGAGTGAGTTAAACCTAGAAGGAAAACCAACAATGATAGTTCCATTGTATTCCATTTAATAATGTATCTATAATTCAGGTCTATCCTTGTCGTTAGTATAAACTGCATCTTTACCATAATGAAAGATGTTATCATTTTTGATAAATTTTCATATTAATGGTACTGAAATTAGTTATTTACTTAGCAAAAGCTGCTTTGATTGTAAACTTCCAGTGTTAATATATTTTTGCTTTTCTTCTGAAAATAGAACTATTTACCACATTGACAGATTTACAATATATTCTTTGTAAAGAATTAATTTAGGAAAATTTTACTCAAATGCTGAAATCATTTTAAAAATTTTATATTCAATTTATGTTTTATTCTTGGTTTACAGCTACAATTTCTGATATCTTAAGACTGATTTTAACGACATTTCTTAAGATATTATAATAAAATATTTTAATTTTGTACAAAAGCCCTTTGTTGATATTTTGGCTAAAATTTGTACTTGTTTACTTTCGCTATTTTCACGTTCATGCGTTATCTAAGCTTATTTTCGATACTTTGTGCTAATAAAGAAAATTGTATATTTGAGAGCTATTATGTAAAATTCATAAATCAGTTTTGTTCAAAATCAAGTGTGTGTTAAGTCGTTGAATAACTCTTTTCTTTTTTAGAATCAAAATTTTGCAGATTAGCGCTTTTAATGTGATGCTTCTTCAATTTACAAAAAAACTTCTGTTTCCAAGATATATAACGTTTTCGTGAAAACAGTTTTTATTCATTATTCTAATGGTATAAGTGTCTAAAAATGTCCCCATATTAAAAATAAGAGTTAAGATAATAAATATTCTAAACATGGAAGTGTATTAAATTGCTACATTTTTAAGTAAATTACTGCAATAACTTCGAATTTATCATTGTAAAGTTTATTTAAGATAATAGTATTAATTCTGCCCTATTAACTTTCGTTTTTTTTCGTTAACCTTCAATAAAATATAAAATTAAATTACGAGTGAATGTATAATTTAGTAGGTTTGGGAAAGCACTCGATGAGTAGTTAAGTTATCTATCTGTACGCCGATCTGATGTTAAATGGTTATTAAGTACACAAGGCGACTAATCATTAAGTCATTGATTCTTATTCACATATTTAAGCATTTATATTTAAACAGTAGTGGATAAGTTTCGCTAAATTTTAGTTTTATGTGCAGCACGCAGTTTTAATAAACTTTAAGATTTATCTCTAGTTTTTATCTCTCGTTCCATGTTCTTAGACGTATATTTAAGACGAAAGAATAATTCTTCAGAATCACAAGAAAGTTAAGCAAGGAATAACTTAGCAGTTAATTAGGTTTAATCTTCCATCGTGAAATTTAAAACACAGCACAAAGAAGAAGCTAGTTACTACGAAATAAAGCGAAATATTGAGAGTTTTCATTTCTTAGAATAGCATATGTTTTAAAATAAAAATTTAATAGCTTTTTAAATCAAACTGGTTTTTGAATTTCAAAAGTGTAAAATGATTCAAATTTACTGACCCAGTTGATGACGTTTCCTTAAGTGACGTTTCCTTAAGTGATTTAAGCCAGTCAATCACAACATACGGTATAGCTTGATTATCACAGCCAACCGACACTATCATCGGCTCTTATATCATGCAACTTGATATTTTGGGAGAGTATTACTAAAAGTTTCTAGAAACATGCATGATCTCTTGTAGAGACATTAGGTTATTTCGAAGCAGGAGATATGAAAAATGAGCAATATCCTCCCTGAGATTCGAACCACGGACCTCTCGAATACGCGCCGAGTGTGCTGACCACTACACCACGAAGGCATGCTAAGAAGGCTGGAGAAATACCGTATGCACTAAACTTTTGAAAACTCTAAACTTTGAATACGATTATTGTCTTTTCATTTTTCATAGCACATAAAATATTTGTAGGGTAAAGGGGAAGAGTTTATGTCTTGTTTCCCCTTTTGTGTTCGCACATTTCATAAATAGAATCGTTTAAAATTGGGTCAATCAATTTGATCATCCCAGTATCTCTTCAAATACTGTTTTAACTAATTAAAATAGTGTAAATCACTTTTTTGTACCATACAGAGACAGACTACCGAGCAATTTTGAAAAAACAACTGATGAATTGAAACATGCTTTACAGGAAGCCTCTGTCTCGATCCCATTTATCTCCTAAAAAGAATGTAATAAAAGACTCGGAAAGGTATTTCTCCCACTTTCTTAGCATGCCTTCGTAATAGGCGATTGGGTCCCCTAATCCCCAGCCTCCCAACAGGTAGGGAGCATATAAGGAATTTCTTCTGCAGTCTTAGAATGCCTTCGTAGTGTAGGTGTCTGCACGCTGGGCGCGTATTCCAGAGGTCTGTGGTTCGATTTCCGGCAAAGGCGTTGCTCATTTTTCCCATCTCCTGCTCCAAAAAAATCTAATGTCTCTACAAACCCTGCACATTCAATTGCATGTGGATTAAAATATCCATTAATCTTCGAATAACTAGCTGATTGAGTACTCTGTCTTATATTACGATTCGTTGATTAGACTAACTTTGTCTCGACTTCATATTCTGGAGAGAATGTCACAAAGGCTTAGGAGTGTATAAACTAGTGTGTTCAATTCGACGGAACTTTTGGATAACTAATCAGTTGAATACATATTATACTTTATATTGCTACTGGTCAATTAGGATTTAGAGTATGGAAAATCTCTGTCTTGATTAAACGTCATATGCTAGAGGAAGTGTAACAAAACATATAACCTCAGCTCGACCGGAGCCTTTGGACAATTCACCTCTTGAGTACAAGCTTTACATTAAATTGTTAGAATATAGGGATTGTCCAGACGCAATTTATTTTAGTAAAATAGTAACATACATCATATATGTTACTGGCAAAGTATGAAACGCCGGCATTCTATAGGATGTCTAGGCACTGTATGTAATGCCGGACTTTTTTAGGCAAAGTATGAAATATGAGAATTATTACAACTTTCCCTAGGCATTGTATATAATACCTACTCATTCTATAGAATGACAAAGGCTCTTTAGGCAAAGAATGAAAAATATTTAAGATAAGGCTATTATTTAAAAGACGTTCATTCCTCAAAAATACAAATGTTATTTTGAAAATTAATGGAAGGGTGCCATTAAAAACTGTTATTCGAAATAAGTAAACAAATAGTGAGATGATTTTGATGCAACATAATAAATTTGTATTTTCTATCTGGCCGAGACTGTGTATTAGTAAGATCTACCTGAAAACGGAAATTAAATTCAGAAACAATCATAAGTTTCATATTAGTGCTCTTTCAATTACCTTTTCGTTTTTTCTGGCAGGACTCCCAAAGGTGGTTGTACAGTTCGATATCATTACGTGTAACGTTTTTGTATTGGGTTGAAAGTTCTTTCAACATTCTGTCACCCCGTCCGTGTCCAGTACTGAGTTTAGTACAGAAAATAACTCAGCGTTCGTGACGCAATACTGTGTAGTATTGACTCTTTCTTTAACAGGATTAAATGAATGTACTTTCGTTTTTCACAAACATCACAACCTAGCGATACAGCGGCCAGTAGTTCC